CACTCCACCCACTCCGCGCCTCGCCTCCCAGCGGCGGCGGCCCCAGGATCTCAAGGTCCTTGCATCCGGGGCGGACTTGTGGACGAGTTCACCTGCCGCGGCGCCTGGTGTGCCTTTTCCCTTCACCCCAGGACCCATCTTTGGCGGAGGTGGCAGGGAGCAGATGGGCACCGCTTTATCACCGCTGGTGCCGGGAGGTCTGAGCCTGGTGCCCTGCCAACGAGGTGGTCACCAGCCTCGGACCCGCCTGGAACCAGACACCCTAAGCCAGCCAGGTCCCTGCCAGCCCCGGCGCGCCCGTTTCCTTCGGGTGCTGCTGACTCCTCCTTTCCTGACCCCGGGCTATGGCAGCTCCCGCTTCCTCTTGCAGCGAACACATCCTGTTGTTAAGCCGGCCTTAGCCCAGGACGACTCCCCGGGAACCGTTTGCACCTTTTACTTGGAGTGCTCCCTAGGCCCCTCGGCGTTTCTTTGGGGTCTTAAAAGCACTGCGCCCTTTCGCAGGTGGAATGTATTCACTGCCCGGCTGGGGAGAGTCCTCGTTTAGAAAGAGAATCAGGCTGTTTGGATGGCATAACAAATCAGTATGAGAAAGGCGCGGGGTGGCAGCCTTAGTCACTGAGATCTGGTAACTTCATAGAAATGATCAGGGCCTGGAAAACCAGCCGCAGCTGATCTGAGACGGGCATTGGTGTAGGAAGGAAGGCACAGAAGGCATTAGCCATTAAGGCCCTATATATTATGACTCATTGCAAACGTGTTCGTGTCCAAACATTTCAGTGAAGTCTGTCAGGAAAATCTCAAATTGGTTTTCGTTGACTTTCAGTTTAGATTTTCTGAGATCTGAGCTGTTCCCCGGGGGTTGGGAGGTGAAATAGGAAACGCTTATTGGTTTGAAATTAATGCTCCAGACGCAGTGTCTTACCTTCGATTGAAAATACACACACATTCTAAACATACTTTTAAACCAGTTTCTCTTTAGGGTTCAGTTTTTATTTTTGAAACATCATGTATAGTATATACCATAGAGGCAAAATCAGTTTATAATCCTTAATAGTTCAGATGCCGCTGGTTTTTAGACCATCATATACATATATATTTAATTGCAAGAGATGTGGCTTTCTAAATGGATCTTTTTTTTTGCATTATATAGTTAAATATTTGTATTATTTACAGTAAAGTTAAAAGATCTTTAGAAAATGACAGTTAAGCTATTGAGTACAAATTATAACAGTGAAGAAACCTGAGGTTAATAAAACTGCGGTTACTTCACCCGCATTAAATGCTAAAGACACTGCATGGCAAATGCCTGGGCAATTTACTTCATCACTGTCTTTCCCCCATTTGGTTCACTTGAGTATCTAGCTGACTGCTTTCTCTGAGCATCTTTCTCTTTCTCTGAGCGTTTCTCTCTCCATGTCAACTGTGTGAAAAATACAGAAACTTT